GATGGACAGAGTCAGGGCAAAGTCCCCCTCCCACAGCACCCAACCCAACGCTCCCACACCTCGGGGTGGTGGTAGCACCTCGCAAGGCTCAGGGCATGGCTGGATCTGTAGCAAGCCAGAGCAGAAACAGCACGAGAGGTTGTTTATTACAGTCATGGTCACTTAACTGGCTTAAATGAGTATTTAGGAGCTATTACAGTGAATCATGGCTGTGTCTGATGCGAATACACACTGCAGGAGCCATTGTGGGCAGGGTAGGAATTAACTGGCCAAGATAAATGAAGAATAATTAGCATCTGGAGATGACCAAGGAAAATATTTTTCAGTTTCAGGTGAGGCACAAGGGAAGCCAGAGGAGCAATTGGAGGAGCTCGTGGCTGACTCGTCCCCTCAAGCAGCGTGTGGCCGAGAGCTCCCCAGAACCCTGCAGCGTCGTGTGTCGGCTTCAGGATAAACACTGGGGATAAAATCAGTCAGTGCCAGCAGATCCCAGTGCCAGAGGGAGGGGACAAGGACCCAGATCAGTCCTCTCACTGAAGCAGTCATTCTGCTTTCTTTTGGATGTATAGGTTTCTCAGGAGCAAGATTTGAGCCGAGGTGTCCACACCTATCCATCCCACCGGGCAGGAGCAGCCCTGAGGTGGTCCAGGGGTGTGAGCATCCAGCCAGCACAACCCCAGAGCTTCCCCTGGATCCCACACAACCCAGTGCTTTCAGCAAATGAGGGATTTTTTTTTTTATAACAAGGGTAATCACAGAGTGACAACAGCAGGAGGAAGGGGATGAGCTATGAATATTCACAGCAGAACCTCAGAGCCCGGGGCCAAGGAGAAAAATCTTGTGGGAATGGCTTGTGAGTAACCAATTTGGGGTTGATTTTTCCATGCGTGTAAAAAAATATTGAAGTTTTCATCCTGAACTCATATCTGCTCCAAAGAGAGCCATCAAGAACAGAAGGCTGTACCCGTACCGATGTTGACACCTGACAGCACGGACTTCTGGGGGCAGATGGAAGTGCCCACATTTGAAAGACAGGTCATACTCGCCAAATCCCACACCTGAATTTTGGGGACAGCCTCCCCCCACAAATTCCTGAACGTTGGCCTGGCTTCTGGCAACCCCGTGGCAGGGAGAAAGGGCAGAGCATCCCGTGTCCAAAGGGACTCCACCATTGGACAGGGAACTACTAGAAAGAGTCCAGCGAAGGGCAACAAAGATGATTCAAGGATTGGAGCATCTCCCTGATGAGGAGAGACTGAGAGAGCTGGGACTCTTTAGTCTGGAGAAGAGAAGGCTGAGGGGAGACCTTATCAATGCCTACAAGTATCTCAAGGGAGGGTTGAAGGAGGAGGGAGCCAGACTCTTTTCAGTGGTTCCCAGTGAGAGGACGAGGGTCAATGGGCACAAGTTGGAACAGAAGAGGTTCCACTCAAATACGAGGAGAAACTTCTTCATGGTGAGGGTGACAGAGCCCTGGAACAGGCTGCCCAGGGAGGGTGTGGAGTCCCCTTC